GGGAAATGTTTTCGGCCTATAATACCTTAGAGATTAAAAATCATGAATGCATAAATCGGACTGCAGCTAACAAAAGTTCTCACTATCAATCAATCTATCGATCATTTACTTGATAAACCGATGAATAATTCGGTGTGTGAAATAGTGAAAAATGGCTCTTAATGTTTTAAATTGCTATTTATTTAAAAGAGTTTAAAAAGAAATGACTTACAAGACATCCGTTTCTTTCTTACTTGCTCGTCACTTCTAATTAGCGGTAGATTTTGTAAGTTGTACTCACTGCAGAAAGAGTTTTCTTACTATAGAATAGTGGCCAGTGTCCCCATGCAGCAGGAAACTGGGGACTTAAAATCCAGTTTTAAGTGTATTTAAATCTGATATACTGCTTTAAAAAAGAATGGTAGAAAGAAAAAAACAAGCGTGAGCCCTAATTAAATCCTTGCAGTGTCCAACTTGTGACAGAATTCCATCTCTGCCTCTCTTCCTCCACACAGCAACAGGCCAACCTGATCCCAGGCTTGAACCTGAGCGCTCTGGGCATCTTCTCCTCGGGTCTGCCGGTGCTGCCCCCTGCTGCTGGATCACGTGGTGCAGTGCCCCCTGTGGCACCAGCAGGATACAACCCATTCTTAGTAAGAACACTGTTTTTCCCCCCCAGGCTAACTCTGCACACAATCATAAAAGGTGGAGAAAAACAGACTTAAAATGCTGCTTTTAGAATGACTTTACTGCTGGTAGGATTGCTCTTTCCCAGCCAGCGCGGTGGTGCACTGCTCCTGCAGGGATTAGCTTTGACTTGATAAAATGATTTCTTTCCAGCTCGTGGTAAAATATGCTCCCCCTGAAGTGCTATAGAAAAAACAATACTGTGTTGACTCAGGTCTTCCTGCATGGTATTGTACACAGACTGAAGCAACCAGAATTCCCCCATCTTCTCCAGAGATGAGTCAGTTTGTCTGTAAAACAAAGTCTCTACTCAATGTCTGATGAGCGCGAGCCAAAGCGGTGTGAGACAGTGTGGGAGAATGTACTTGCGTGCTTTGTAGTCAAGAACGTTACTGTGTGATTCACTCTGAGATTATGGCCTGAAAATCCCCCTAACGAGAGCTCGAACTGTGTATGTGCACATTTCTTTTAACGTATGTATTTGTATGTGTCTGTTTGCCGTCTGATCAGTCTGCTTGTCACCTCACTTTTCAGAGTCACTCTTCACATCTCAGTGGCCTGTACGGGGTTCCTTCAGCAAGTGCCATCCCCCACCAGCACTCAGTATGTTCCTTAAAATCTGAACTACAGTCAGTGTTGCCTTGGAGAGCAGAGACTTTCCAGCTCATTTTGAGCTTTTTTGTTTTACTAGATGATTTGTTTTAATAGTTGTGGACAGTATGTTGCACACATGAAGCTTAGGAAACTCAAACTTAGGATGTAAGATTGTACTGAGGAAAAGTCTAACTTTACAAGTAAAATTCATCCACTCGATTGACTCCTACAGAACAGAGAAATAAAGGAAGGATGTAAGACAGATTAAGACATAAATAACAGACCATTACC